TGTGTCAAGGCAAGAAAAGGGGCCCCCTATGATAACTGTAAGGAAAATATATTCGGGAAAAACTAAATGAGAAATAGTAAAAATCGGCCTGTCACAATCAGATTTATAGCTCTGAATTTTAAGGTTGCTGGACCAGTACTGTTTATGAAATATTATTGCACAATTAGGGGTGAAGATCGACTGTATTTGTGATTGATAAGAGGCTAGTGCAACGATTGGTGGTGTCTCAAACAAACTGGGCACAGAAAAACAGATAGGTAGGATTTCCGACGGCTATCCATAATTAGGGATTCTCCACCAAATCCGAAACGTCATGAAAATGAAATTCTTGTTCTAGTGATTGCATCTTCTTCTGATGTAGGATTTGGTTGGAGTGGCCGAGGTAACCCTACTGTTATGTTGGAGATGCAATCTCTTGTATGCAATCGCAAAAACGCAGACGTCGCGGAATGGGAAGTAATGATCAATTGTAATAGCTTGACTGCAGTTCAACGGACAGAATTTAGTATTCTTCCGATGATAGTGGAGATCTCAATTTAGACTTAACCCTGACCGGTAACCTCAGCAGTTAATTTAAAAAAACACAGCACAATTAATTCTGAAGCTAACTTTCCCCCAGAACAGTGCTTGTTCGTTCGAAAAAATTGTGAATTAGTTACGATTTAGGAGAGGAAGAAGAGTACTATGATCAGCACGGGGTTGACAGAAACTAAGCATCTGTCGAGAGAAGTTCTGAGTGGGCTAATTAAAACCGATGTATAAAAGCAACCGTATTATTCTGTAAGTGCACACAGTATGACATTCGATTGTCTTTTTTATGCCGATAAGCATTTTGTAGATAAGGTTGCAAAATCATAAAATACTTAACTTTTAAATATATGGCAAGGGAAAATGGAGGTAGTGCGATCGGATAGTGACGTGGTATTAACAATTTTGTATTTTCCCACAGGGCGGTGGGCGATGTGCGACTATGCAACTGCGTAAAATAAATATATTTTCGATTTCATTTATTTCAAATGACACACCCGAATTATCGCTGGGAGTGTCGCGTAGGATTCGCGTCAGACCAAAGTCAGCAACCTTAACGTTCTCATCCTTGTCAACAAGAACATTGGCAGCACGAAGATCCCTGTGAACAATGTTTACCTCCTCCAGGAATGCCATTGCCACGGCAACCTGCAGACAGAAATTGAAATTTCCACGTTATTTATTGAAAATTGTATTTCCGAGTATTTGCTTAGGTAGAATCTCCAAACGATTAAATTTTGGTAAAAACGTAGGATATTTGTTATTTTTTAATTCAGGATTGTCGTAAAACAAAGTCCGATGAGCCTCTGCCTGCATATTGGGAGTGCTAGATTCGTGGTCATCATTAGCGCCTACACTCCTTACCCGAGGATCTGAATGTCCTCCTGGTGACTGTGCCGAATATGGACAACTTGATCTTCCTTGATGACTTCAACGCTCGCTTCGGCACAGGCCATGCTGCCTGGAAAGGTCTACTGGCTCCTTACGGTGCAGATGGTTCTAGAGGCAACGGCATTCTTCTCATGCGAACCCGCGTAGAGTACCGCCTCGTCCAGACCAACGCCCTCTTTGCCTTCCCCTACAGCTGAAAGCGACCTGCATGCAGCCCTGGTCCAGTGTCCTCGTTCAGTGACAAGGCTAAAAGGACGTGCTGCTGACAAAGACGATCCTACGTGCCAATTGTTAGACCGATCATCGAGCCCTCATTTTCAATATGAGGATCCGTCTTAAGCGACCCCCAGCTAGCTTGAATGCTCACTCGCCGAATGTGTGTACACACTGTCTCCATTTCAGCAACGTTCTGGCTCAACGGCTGGC